ATCTCCTCTCATACAGCCCAAAGTCTAGGGTAGAAAAGAAAACTTAAGACATAGGATAAAAATACTACTCTATAACAGTTACCAGCATTTACAAGCAAATATTGAATGACACAATTTAGAGTACAAGTATTCTCGGACAAAAAAAAAAAGACACAATATCATGGATCCTCGCCTGCAGATAATCTTCTAGTGCTTCAAGGACTGTATCAAACATTATCAAGTGCAAGGTTTTAATAAACATCCATCATTTACCGAGGAGTTCCATTCAATCCTTTTTCCAATGACCAATAAATTTGGACCAGTTTATTTTACTACTTGCAGTGCAAAGAGTAGCATAACTAAAGAAAACTTGACGTCTTTATCATTTTACAAGGGTGTTTCAAATAAAAGCTTTTCAATCCTCCCTAATGTATCACAACAAATTTGCAAGTGTAACTGAAATGTAAACAGGACAGACACATGTTCTGACAAATTACTTGTGCGCCACAAGTACACAAGCCAGTATTGCTTAATAGAATCATCCTGGCATCTATCAACAAGTGAAAAGTGCATATTTCCATCAGTCTATGAACTTCGAAAGGCATCCTTATTTCATTACAAAGGCTACTATTCTGTGTAGCTTGCACTGCAGCTATGGAAGTCAGTTGTAAAGCAGAGTGAAAAGTAAAGCAACTTTCTAGCTTACTCCTTGAGTTATCTGGTCTTTCTTATTTTCACCATAACATAGCTCTCTTACTCTACAATCTGACTTCCACAATTGATCTGTAAATAGTAATACAGTAGTCATCACATTAAAGGTGCATTCTACAGATTGCATTCACATAGCATGCTTTACAAGATGTGCTCTCTGCCTCTGTATTTCTTTCATTCTATTGACTTATTTTGGATTTTGACAGGTATCTTTGATGAATGAAACTGTTGTTATTATTGTTGGTAGTGGTAATGATGGTGTCCCTACAAATTATTGAAGTTCACGCAATAACTTAGGCCTCTCCCTGAAAAACTTTGTATTGGAGCGTGTGAGACAACCACACTGAAACTGAAAACTTAAAACTTGCGCGCCCTTTCCCGCAGGAAATGTAACTGGATATCGCTCTTCAGTCGACGTGCTATCTTTCGTGTAAATTAAACTAAATACACTATTTATGTCTAAATAAGTTAATTGTATCAATAAAAGCACAGGATGGTAAACAAAAATGTTGCATGTATACGTAGTGTTGGATCTTCAAGGGATCTAATCAGCCAAAAATTACACACACACATATAGAACAAAGTAATTAAAGGACCATAAAAGGAGCATATGCACTACTGCATGATCGCTCTAATACAGCGTTAAAATATTATATCACGTTGAGACACATATTAAGAGAGAGCAACATACCTCTCTGCTAAAGATGAAAAAGATGATTGCTTTAATGTATCTTCCAATAACCAGAAAAGTTTTCGTCGAGCGCATGTCGTTAGGCTCTTAGTAATTTCACTTTGATGGTAGCGGCAGGACTTTCAAGTCGATTACATAGTTTAAGATTTACAACAACGGTAACAATGTAAAGCAATAGATATCCTAAGGTGCATAAGCAAAAAGGACGCTTCAAGCTCACCTTTCAAACTCCTATTTGCTCTGTTTCTGACCTCGCCCGCACCTTGCCCTTGATATAGCGTCCGCCATATTTTTTTTTTGGTCGAGACGAACTCGCTCCAGCGTCGGCAACCAGCCAAATCGCATGCATTTTAATTGTCGTTGCGCGTTTTCCGATTGGACGAGAACGTGTCAAGTGACATAAACACTTGTTTTCCGAAGTATAAACAATTTCTGATTTATTACACTTAGGGCCTGTTTACATGGAGTGGGGGACCCCGGTCTAGTGGGGTTGGTTTCTTTTGTTTTCACGCTCTGGGGGACACAAAACAAAAGAAACTTACCCCACTAGACCGGGGTCCCCCACTCCATGTAAACAGGGTCTTACTTTAACGACTGGCCCTTTAATTATCATTTTGTCATCCCATAAACAGACGTTGATAATGATGGCGTTGTGACAGAGTTTGCCCGTGTGAAGGGTAGAAGTCTTGGGCTTTGCTTGTAACCTTGATGGCGTCACAGTTTTACTTTTTTCCGTGCAGTACCTTACCGATAACACTAAAGAAAAAGTGCTTCCGGTAAATAAACAACTAACCACTGCATTTTCCTTCGTATTTGCTAAAACTGAAAATGTCCCGAGGAAAAAGTATGAAATGGCATTTCCGAGACCCTAAATTTAACAATTTTCCGTTGAGCAAGCACCTGCACCCAGACCCCGTAGTGTTTTGGAGCGCCTTTGGCGCTCTAACTTTTCTTCTCGTGCGTACAACTTCAAAATCTCACTCAAAATGTATTATACTGAGATTTTTATTTCAAATAGTAGCTTTAAATTTTTACAACCATCAAAATGCTTTCATGTTTTGAAACATACCACGACCAATTAGCCTGCACAGCTGGCGGGATCGTTAGAGTGAGAAAAGTTTTGGCAGAGGAGCTGCGAAGCCGTGAGGAGAATGGGGAGGTGACGTTTTGAAGCGCTCGCCTCTGTTCTCTCGGCTTTAACAAAGAATTCCGCCAGCTACGCACGCTAGGACCAATCAGAGGTTTGATTATTGAGATTTAAGAACTTTCCAAGTTTCTCGTAAAACACCATCCTAACAATAGTCTGCTACACAGCCGTTTTCAGTGTCGTCACGCAACGCAGGAGCGTTGCGTGACGACACTAAAAACGGCTGTGTAGCAGACTATCCTAAAAAGAACCACTCTCCCTCGAATAAGACCTTTCCACCTGGAACCATAAACTAAGAGACAGAAAAGAGCTGACGAGAGTCAGGGTTCGTACAGGTTTTTGGATCCAAAATTCAAGACTTTTTCCAGACTTTTTTTCCAAAACAATAATTCCTTTTCCAGACTCAAGGTTATCAAATAGCTGATCGCGAGAATAGAGACCTTAAAAAAAGCATGAACAAAGCTTTTTTTCACGATGAGCTGCCAACTACAGTCGAGATTGAATAAGATTTGACCAAAACAAAACAAAAAAAGAATTTCACTTATAAAGCACTTGTTGTAGCTTAAAAAAACAACAACAACAAGACCTTTTACCATTTTTCCAGACTTTTTCCACGTCTGGAAAATTGCTGGGGAAATTTCGAGACTTTTTCGAGAATTCAAGACTCTATACGAACCCCGGAGAGTTAGTACAAACTATTCAACATAATTGATTCTAAGGAAATGCGCACGCTATGATTCGTCACAAAGAAGTCCTGTCCACACGAATCCGGGTAAGCTGAAACCGCATTTAGAAAGTCAATAACCGGCTGCAATTGTTTACAGGAATTCGAAAATCCTTTAGATCCAAAGACGCTAGAGAGCGGTTTCGGTGACCAGATTCTTTGGTTTCGTACGGACAGAAGGTCGATTCTTAAAAAAACCTATATATTTTCGGGTTGCAAAAATATCCTGATTTGTGTGGACGGCGTTCATTCTTGCGGCATTCTATGGCCCCTTCCTCACTTATTATTTTTATTAGAATTCGCCTTCCATCTAGACGAAACAAGTGAACTCGCTCACCGAAAACGCATCTTTTTGAATCTGCTCTCCATTGTTGTTGCTGTTGCTATTTTTACGATCCGACGGATTTGGGGTCGTTCTCTAGGTGCCGTCCATCACAAAAGAAACAAAGGAACCAAACAATAGGGTTCTCCTGGGGGCTTTATTGTTTGGTTGTATCTTTGTTGTTTCTTTTGTTGTACGTAATCTGTGCCACGATACCTACAGAAGGAACCCGGATTCGCAAATCCGAGTCCGTGTAGATGGCTGAAACCAGATATTTTCCAATTCAATTCAGTCATAATTAATTGAGTGGAATGGTTATGAAACCCGTCAGACTCCTTCGTTATATGTTTTTGTGGACCTGAAAGTGCACAACGTTCAAAAGAATTCCTATCATTTTGATTGTATTGACCAATAAAAACGTTGTTGCCAACAGAAAACAAAGGATTGTGCACTTTCAGGGTGCTTCCAACATAAACTGCAGCACTGTTGTTTTTATCATTGATGTTTGCCGCTTTTCATAACCAGTCTCCTCTAATAACTATGATTCAGTACAATATGCGGTTCCACCGTGTCATGAGTCGTATGGACGGGGCCTCAGTTATAGAAATTCGGATAACTATGACCTCGTTCATTGCTGCAAACCTTTGTCAAAACATTCAAAAAGCATTTTCATATAAACTTTTTTTGCATTGTTAATTTATTACATTCCAAAAATCAAAATTCGCCACTTGCACATCTCCAAAAATGCACCTGGTTTGCCCCAAAATTTTGCATAAGCATTGTTTTTAATTTCTCTTGGGACGGCTGTAATACCCAGGAGAAATGAAAAAACAAAGGTTATGCAAAATTTGGGGAGGGGGGAGGGGGGGGGGGCAAACAAGGTGTATTACGGGAGAAATGCAACTGGCGCATGGTAAGGTTATCTGGCTTGCTTAACACCTTTACGTCGCGTCACAAGTGCGGCCCATTAAACTCGTTATCTTTACGGCACGGTTCCATGTTATACTACACGCATTGCTACTCTGCCAAGCCGATGAACTCACATTCTTGGCTCTTTTTATACAACTGTAGCTTATGCCCCATTCACACTAGCGAAACATTTACCAGGTTTTAAAAAATGAAAAACAGACACGGAAAACTGCTGGAACACAGGTTTTACACAGTATTCAATTTAAACTCAACATGCCTTGTAATTTGCAGCAAGTAACTTTTAGGAAGGAAACAATTTTAAACCATGTTTAACTAAACAGTCTTTAAACATATTTGAGCTTTAGTGTGAATGGGGCTTTAGTCCTGTTTTGTCACTGTAAGCTATCAGAGAGTATGTCAAAATAAAATTCCGTGAGACCACTCACCACAGGAACCCCACATCTCTCTTTACAGACGATAGGTCGATTGGATACTGAGTACCATATCTAATACTTTATTACAATTTGCTGCTCAGTGGTTTCCCGCTTACAGCCTGTGGAATTCCAGGAAATTCATCATCAAAAGCCGCACGTAAGACATCCTCCACCCTGTTAGCCAAGATAAAGTCCATCTTGTCCTGATAAGAAAAAAAGAAGAACAATGCTTTACACACATTCGTTCAGATAGTAAAGCGCAGGGTGAAAAATAGAGCGAACAACAAAAAAGCGACGGAAGAATAGGGGGACTCGACCCAGTCTCCCCTCGCTATAGTAAGCCATTTCAGCTACTGCCAAAAAAAGGTGTAGCATTTCTTGATTGAAGCGTTTGCACAAAGAGTCCCTTTTCCCCTGATTGTTGTAGTTGCCAAAGATTAGTTGATAAACATGCCGTGGTCTGAGACCCACGCATAGCCAAACTCAACAATCGTTGAAACAAAAATATGTATGAGTATGATTTGAAATTTCTCTAACATGACTGCATGGTATCTTACCTTCACGTTATCCGGTAGCTCTGAAAGATCCTACATTCGAAAGAAACAAACAAAAATTATCTACTGACAAAAAAGACATAACTAAAATAAACTAAAAATAAGTGCAACGCAATACTAAAAGCCAAAACAACAACGGGGGAATAGGCCAAGAGAAAACAAAGATGATAAAAACAAAGAAAAATTATCAACTAACAACTGAAGAAAGATCTAACTAATATAAAATCTCGAGAGAGAGGCTGTGAGAAAATATACACCTGCATTCTCGATGTTAGAATCAGTAGTTCATCTTAGCCCTTTTCTCACCTTTTCGTTCCGTCTTGGCAATATCACCCTTTTCAGACCCGCTCTATGAGCAGCCAGTACTTTTTCCTTGATTCCACCGACCTAACAAAAACAATTCAGAGGCAATTCAATTTCACTTTTCGTACTAACCACATCAGTGCTAACAGTTCTATCTCTATCTCTCTATCTTTTCCTAGAAAGGCTTTCTAAAACTCGAAATATCAAAATAACGCCATTGACAAAGCGGTAACTAAAATTGTATTTTAAATACAAGCCTTACCGGTAAAACAAGGCCTCTTAACGTGATTTCACCTGTCATTGCTGTGTCAGAACGGGTGCATCGGCCACTGGGGAGACAACAAAAAACTATCATCGCCACATTTAACATACCTATAAGCACGCGTACTCTTATAAAGACGAACTGCCCGAAAATTTGAGCAAAACAAAAAGGCAATAAGTCCTCTTCCAGCTGACGTACGTCGCACTTAAAAAATTAACCTCCCTATTGCTGTAGTTTGATAATTATGACCATATTACGCCTAAATGGAAAAACTTGTTAAAACACTTAGTCAATGGTATTGGAGGGGATATACCGAGGAGGGCAGCAACCTTCTCAGCACCAGAAGATCACCACGGAAATCGAGCCACTGCCTAGCACCAAGTATATGACAACACCACGCCCACAAAATGATGTGTGGAATGAATACTTACTCACACAGTGGAAGGCATGGAAACGAAGAAACAAAGCAAATTGAGCGAAAGTAGATCGCATTGTCCCTGGAAAACTTACCTGAATAGTGAAACAAGTACAGTTACAATGGTAACACCAGCAGAAGGGCCGTCTTTACCCACAGCGCCTGCTGGGAAGTGGATATGAACATCTGTACGTTCTAGAAGGTCAATACCGTCCTCTGACGTCAGGAAAAACTATATAACGGCAAAAAAGGTAGACGAACAAGCATTGAATTAGCTTAGTACCTGTAAATTCGATGGGGTCAGATGACAAATTGTTGTTGCCGGAAATATCTATAAGTGGTAACTGTTACATTGTTTTCATTTCCACAGTTGCTTACAAAATCATCGCAACACCAGAATAAGTGAGAAAATCAGGGATGGATTCAAATGTTCAAGTTAGCGGGGGTTCGCTCATCCAGAGCCTAAGAAAAGAAGGGGGCCCAGCCTCGAAAATACTGAATTTTTCTCAGCCCTACGTGCTCTAGACTGGCCTAAGAATAAGATGGGTGCCATGGTCTACATCCGCCAATGGAATTGTTAACACAGGTGTTAAAGATGAAGTGGTTCGTACTCGCTTTGGTAGGGCATTCCTAAGCGCTGCTGTTGGTTTGAAAACGGCGGCAACTTTTTCAGCCAATTGGAAGTCAAACCGTTCTCTCGGGCTAAGAGTGCCGTAACCATAGCTTGAAGCTGATTTGATGGTATTTGAAACAGCTCATCAGATTTTGGTGCAATTCAGTCTTTATTTGCTTTGATAAAAGCATCATGATACTAATCTGAGAATAACTACAAATTTTGATTACTAAATAAGGTGAAAATACACACCTCAACAGAACGACTCCTAAGCCAGCTTAGCGCCAACTGTGCAGATTCCTTCATGACATCCCCTGAAGATTAAAGCAAACATTATGCTCATACAAAAAAGTCTTCAGCAAAGTATTTTGGAGTATATATCTTACTCCTTCTTGTAAACCTAGTAACCTTTACCGTGCTGATCATGAGGTCTACAAAGGTTAGCCTGTACAGAGACGTTGTTTTATTTTTCTTCTCGTTCTTTTCGAAAACATCGGCGAGCGAAGCGAGCGTGCGCGAATGAGCGTGGAGCGCGAGAAATAAAAATCGTCTATTTTCTTCTTCCCCCACCCCTACACCCTTGCGCTGGCGGTCAATAAATCCCATGCGGTTTATATTTTATCACCCTCGCTCGACGGACTCTGAAGAGAAAATAGAGGGTCTTTGAACAGGCTAATAAAGTGGACAAATTTAAGAGCAGAGCCTTTAAATCTTTGAGACAAGTTCCTTTGTGTAGTTCTCTAGTAGTACTTTGAGGAAAAGTCTTAAATAAATATATCTGAGACACATACCAAGCTGTCCTGTTAAGGTCAATTTTCCTTCCCCTCCCATCCGCGTGGCTTCAACAAACATGATTTCTCCGCCCATGGCCGTCCACGCTAAACCTGAGGAGACATGCGAACAAAAAAAGAAAACACACGGTTAAAAACCACAATGACAAAAGACGGAATTGTGTAAGGGATAAACTTGGGAACCAGTTGACTAGAATATCAAAAGAAATGATATCGGTTCTTAAACTAGGTAAGGTTTTTAAATGGTTTGCAAGTCTAGTTCCTTGACAGCCATCGTAGGTGGCGCAGGTGCTGAACAATGCATGTAAATTAAGTCACCAGTGCTATTGGCTTTTTTTATTACTCTTAAAAAGAGTTGTCGTTTGAGATCTTTTATACCCACGATCATGACGTTTGATTACAACTACCAAGGATTGCTAAATCTGAGACCCAAAGTAAACAAGGAAAGAATTCTGGTTACAGAAGGAAATTGACGTCATCGTGAAATAAAGCCCTAGTTTTTGAGTCTCTGATGATTCAAATGAAAGCCCTACGTTTATCTTGCGTTTCTTAAAATGAATTGCTTTCAAGTTACTTCACAGACTTATCCCTGAGCCGCGAGGAGCGGTACACGCATATTTTCAGGGCGTCAAGAATTTACGAGTACATGTAAGAGACCGATGAGCATAAAAGATAAAAAAAATCCCAACACTCACCGACAGCAACCCCAGGGGTAGAAAGTCTTTGAGCCACCTCAGATTCAAACGCAGGAGGCTGGAAAGTATTTATATCATTAGATAACAATAACACAAAGAAGAGCTATTGATCGAGGAAAGCACTTAATATCTTTCGATAATCTACACGTGACCCCCAGAGAAAAAAAAAATTTTTTTCATAGATTTAAAGTTGAAGAGTAACTAACTATTTGCCAAAGATTTTTCATTGCAAATTGCAGATTAAAAATTTCCATTTGTTTGAATTTGTTTCCAAAGGAAGCTAATGAGCAGCAGTCTTTCAGCTCCGCAGTTGCCAAAAGTATCCAGCTGCTTATATATATGCCGACAAAAACTTGAGTGAGAAAAGAATGATTCCAGCAGCAAGGAACAAAATTAACACAACGGCAAATGAGAACCTCACCCCTAGCACATCAGTTAAAAACTTTTCGGTAACCAAAAACGCCCTTTTGTCAGCAACAGTAACAGCTGTAGTGTTGGAGCTTGCACCCTCTTGTTCTTTAGATTCCTCTTTACCGCTGTCTTTAGTTTTCTCTGATGCACTCCTTGCGGCTTCAGCGACCTACATTTAAGAAATCAGTGAAGAAATAAACACGAATACGGCAAGTTGGTGGCTATTTTCACCCTGGCAGCACAAAATAACGAGATTTGAATCATTAATGGCTGCTTCGGTATTCCACAGCTAGGGAGCTTTCCATTTACAAAGAAATTCCAGTTGGGATGGAAATGTACATGTAACACACATTTTACCCGGGAACAATAGGGGTATATGTACTTTGAAGAGGTAGTCCTGTTTTCCCTTTGGAAACAACGCAAGTAAAGTAATGGCATATAAAGTTAAAACCAAAAACATGTCCCTACCCGCACGGCGACTGCTCTGCACACGCCACCAATCTTCCGTTCAAGTGATCGTACCCCAGCCTCACGAGTGTAATTAGAAACTGCAAGGAAAAAAAACATTTTTAGTTTTTTTTGCTTAGTTTATAGAGTTTTCTTTCTTCCAACAAAATAAAAAAATGCGGATTAACAAATGATGGGGAATCTGATGCTAAAGAGAGATTATGGATTCTCGGGTATAAAAACCAAAATCAAAATAACGCCCCGTTTATATGGAGGAAAGTTGTCCCCGGTAGAAGGGTCAACCGCCTACTCGAGCAACCCTGAGCGAGCCAACTTGTCATTCATTTCCGAACAAAAGGTCGCGAACCGTTTACATGAAAGGAAAGAAAAGGTTGGCTCGGCTTTTCTGATGATAGGGTCGCCCTTCTAGTCGGGCCAACTTTTCTCCATAGAAACACTTTGGTTCAACTCGGTCAAGGCTAATTTTCCTAGAATTTATCATAATTTTCAAGGACTCTATCCAAGCTCTAAATAACTTTCCGCCAAACTTCACCCTACAGATCTTTTCGTAAAGACCAGAAAACATTAATGTTAGGTGAAGATCATGACGAAACACGCAAGTAATAGCCCTGTCACGTTTGTCACGCACAAACGTTTTGCCGTCCTCTTTTTCCTACTGTCCTGTCGCGTATCAGAGCATGCACGAGCGCTGTTGGCTCAGGCAAAGGGGTCGACTTTTTTTTCTCATCAGTATGAAGGCTTGCTAAAGTTGACTCGGCTGGGAGGGCTACCCTTTTACCAGGGGCAGGTTTTTCCATATAAGAGGTGCCTAAAAAAGGAATCGAATTCACTACGAAAACATGGCGCTGAGGTGAAGTTAACAACAACATTGCCGCGTTTTCAGGGCAAAGCATTCATTTAGTTCTTGTGTAAGTGTGATTTCGTAACTGCATACCATTCTGCGCCTCTCAAAAGATTGCAGAATCCTTAGCCTGCCCAGCTGGCGCTTTTTGCCGGGGAAGGTGTGATGCAAGGCGACCGGCAAACCCTTATAACACATAATAATTCAGGGTCCGAAATTGCGCCTTCCTGGTCGCCAATGCGACCAAAAATTCAGTTCTGGCGACCAGAATTTCATAGTTGGTCGCCAGCTGGCGACCTCGTAAAGCTGGTTGTCACTGTAGACTTTCACGTTCGGAGAAAATGATTAAGAATTGAAACCTCGAAGCTATTTGCCAACAGGTGTCTTACTATTCGTCCTGCGGATATTTTTTTAATTTAAAAGTGAAACGAATCTTCCTGTAAATATACCTCGACAACAGCTACGATCAATACGAGTTGAACGTTTCCAAGCCGCCAAGAGGAATTTTTGGCGACCATAATTTGCCCCTGGCGACCAAAAATTTATACTTGCTCACCAGTTGGCGCCCATATTAAAAAGTTAATTTCGGACCCTGACATACATCCTCCCCTGAAACGGAAACCTGGGAGTTATTCCCTCTCGTTCTTCAGACATTTTGTTTGACTCTTTGTGAGATGAACACTTTTCTAAAGGTATCCCTCTTAGAAAGACGCTACTGGATTTACTTTCTGGTTCATTATTAAAGGTACACATACTTATCGCCTTGAGTGAACTGTGGGGAACCTCAATGTCTTGATCAGTGAGTCCGTGTTCCTGCAAAATAAACCAGAAAAGCTTTTCTCGCCGACTGCAAAATAATTTATAATTATCATAAACTACGAAGGGAAGCTGAAAAATATAAACAATCATCAACTTCTTCGAAATATCCTCTTGCCAACATTTTTTGTCATATTTGATTTTACAAATACGATGCTAGACTCTCTTCAACAGTAAGTCGGTAAAAAAGAAGCAAGTTAAATAATTTCCAGAGAGTGTATGACAAACCTTCAACTGTTTGGGTAGAAGATGTCGTTTTGAAATGGCGATCTTTTCTTCCTGGGTGTACCCTGGAACCATGATTAACTGAAAAAAAAAGCATCAAATGAAATGAAATCAATTTTGAACATTATCTCTCTCGCCCTGTAAGAAGGGTATAGGCAGCCTTTGTAACCCCCCAAAAAATCTCTCTCGCTTTTAGAAAGAGGAAGAGCCCCAAGACTGCTTAACAACCCCTCAAACAACATCTAGATCTCCGTGTACGAGGGAAGGAATTCTCAGAACTGAGACTATCTCACTTTCTGCGAGTAATGGTATTCCCTGGACTACTTACCTCCATTCGATCCAACAGGGCAGGAGGAATTGTGCTGACTGTATTGGCAGTGGCTATGAACAGAACCTGCAGACAAAATAGGACGTGTATAACTACATCTATTCAGTCTGAAGCGTAAAGTGAACACAAGTTTGAAGTACTCACTTGTGAAAGATCAAATGGAATGTTCAGATAGCTAGATGTAAGTTAAGGAAACTGCTTATAAAACATGATAAGTTTGTAATCAAACTATTATAGAACCTCGACTTCTTATTAACAATAAAATTGGGACAGACCAATCAGAAGATGGGTTAATCAGTTAAATAGGAGACGAGAATCAATCGGATGGAATCAAAGTAATTTGGGTTAAAAAAAAGTGATGTACCCAAAATAAATTTTAATAAGAAAACTGACACTTTGAAAAAGTATTAGGGAGTCAGAGCAACTTCATAATATCCAGCCACTTGTTGGAACACTATAAAGAATGAAACATAACACAAGGGAAACGTTTGCTATTCAAGAAGATGCCATAAGTGGCTGGGTATTCTGAAGTTTAGCAAGTATTAGGCAAACAAATACAGTGTAAAAGATAAGATAGGATACTGGTCTACAAATGTCCAGTTCTGCTCAGGATCTAAGACTTCCAACAAAGCAGCAGCTGGGTCGCCATGAAGGCTTTTACCCTACAAATATAAAACAAAACCATTCTCAACATGTCACACTTTGTAGTATTAAATTGCACAATTAAAGCATTTATTGTTACTTTCTAGATTGTTCAATATTACATGTATGCAAGGTCCCTTTTTTAGGCTTAATTCTGCCACAAACTGCAAAGCCATCTCACCATCTTGTCCACTTCATCCAACAAGATAACTGGGTTCTTGACGCCAACTGTTTTCAATGCATTCAAAATTCTTCCTGGCATGGATCCTATGTAAGTGCGCCTATAACAAGACACCAACAACANAAAGCCATCTCACCATCTTGTCCACTTCATCCAACAAGATAACTGGGTTCTTGACGCCAACTGTTTTCAATGCATTCAAAATTCTTCCTGGCATGGATCCTATGTAAGTGCGCCTATAACAAGACACCAACAACAGTCACCTGAATTTAAAGAAATTAGAAACCAAAAGAAGGAAGGGGAAGAGAGAGTATGCTAAAAAGGTCACAACAATGAGCAGCTACCCACGTACCCATATTCAGATAGTCTCTCTCGCAGCTGTTTTTATGTGTGGTCACGCAATGCTCCTCCACACAAACCTGGAGGAGCATTGCGTAACGACACAAAAAATGGCTGCGACGGAGACTACCATTCAGACTCCAGACGCACTCCTTGAATGGAGCCAGTATGGCTGAGTGGTTAGAACGCCGGACTTGTAATCCGGAGGCCCCTTGTTCAAGTCCTGCCCTGATCGCAAGCTGGATTTGTTCATGGTAGTCCTGAGTTCAAATCGTCAGCCACACTTGTAAAATAGCAATGACTTTCAATTGGTGGCAAAAGCATTTTACAAACAACAAAAATTAATGATGAAAAAGAAATTTTAAAAAAAACATGACAAATGATTTATCTCTTGTCCATGGTCAGTGAAAAGTCTTTTCATTTTATCGCTTCCAGATGATAATAATATTGATAGAGTCATGGCTGAATTACCGGGTTTTGATAATAAAATATGATATTTTTGTCAACCATGAACAAAAAGGATTTAACTCCAAGGAGCAGTTTGTGATATTAATATAGGATGCGTTCAACATGGTAAGTAAACATCATCACCCACCTGTGTCCTCTGATGTCCGACTGGTCGCAAATTCCACCGAGTGATATCCTGAAAGAGAAATAAAATAATAGAAAATTCTTAACAACAAGCTAACAAGGAAGGAGAGATTACAAACACAGTTATGGGAATTTGTCCAGTACCTTTGAAATTCCCGGCCGAGTGTGTTCGCAATAGACCTTCCAACACTCGTCTTACCAACTCCAGGAGGGCCAACAAAGCACAGAATTGGTCCTGTAATGCAATAGGAGATGTACCACTAAATGAGAAGCTTGTTAACTTACCCAATAAAAATAAAATAAAGACTAAAAGACTGGCTGGCTTGCTCTATCAGTAAAAATCTTACTAAACTGTCTGACTGTGTGTCATAACTGGTTAACTATAAAGCAAAAATGGACGTACAGCATGTTCTGCCTTCAATGTGAAGACTTAAAAGAAAATGAAACTTACTGCAACTTTACTAACTGCAAACAATAAAAGTTACTACGGTTGAATTTTACCTTTTAAACTGTTTTTTAATTTGCGGACAGCAAGATACTCGATTACCCTCTTCTTCAACTTTTCTAGACCATAGTGATCTTGATCAAGATCAAGCCTTAAAAAAATCGCAATAAAATTAATGAAAATAATTTATTACTTTTTTAATTTCTTCAATATACTGTAGCTCCCTAAAGATAAATATGTAGATGTACAGTATATTTGGGTAAGGGTGACTCGATCCCTCTCTGAAAAAAGAAACATACAGTACCCCTGGAATGCTTTCTTTGCCTCCAAAATGGCAAAGAAGTTCATACTGATACTTCAGAAAATTGATATCTACAGCTACTTGGTTCCTCACCTTGCCTGAGGGATATCTAACTTGTCTTTGGTTTCTTTGCTCCATGGAAGGTCAATCATCCATTCCAAGTAATTCCTTAGAAAGAAAACAATCAAAATGAATTTCATACTCAACAAATAAAATTAAGTTATACAGTACATTTACAGTAAAATTTCCCCTTTTTTGCTATCCTGATGATTCACAAGGCTTTGGCAATCATTCTCTAGCCTGGACCTGAGATATTTATTTTGGTAATCAGGGTTTCAGTTTTGGAAAGTTCCCACCATTTCAACGTACATCAACAGATGACATGCTTGTCAACCACGAAATGTTTACCAGATGAGGTAAAGGAACAGACATGGCTCTAGAGAAGTCCAAGTCATTGGGACTACCTCTTTAAAATGCAACCTCAGACCAACTTGTTATTTTTACCTTGATGTGGCATGTTCAGGGAACTGTGGTGGCATCTTTTTCAATCTCTAAAATGATGAAAAAGTACTGATCAGTATTCAAGGATGGCAGTTAAGTAGTAAACCCTAATAGTCATCTCTCCACAATGGCCACTTTTTTAGGTTCTAGTGCATTCATTTGTTTACTAATAATAATAATAAAAATTTCATGATAATCTCATAATTCATTCTAAATATTGTTTCACTCCCTTTAGTTTACTTCCCCTCTTTAAAATGAGCTGGCAGTCATGACCACATTTGGACAATGACAAATGGTTTGAAGAAAGTCCATGTGGGGGTAGGAATACTAATGAGTGCGGGCGACAATGATCGAAGGTCAAAATGCTTTTGCTCCATTGCTGTGCTTTTCGTTAGTTCTACAGGTAGATATTCAGCACACACCTGATTAGATTACGAGTGATAGAGGGTCCAAACATGCATGATGAAATTGTGTTCTGTGCATTCCATTCATTCTTAATGGAAGTCCAAATAAATGATTGCTACCTACATGCGACACAGCGTAATAATAACCTGGAGATTAGGATTGCAGGCTCCTCTTGTCGCATTGTTTTCAATTTCTTTTGGGACTTACAATCACCCCCAAGAGAAACTGACAACAATGCTTATGCAAAATTGTGGAGGGACAACAAAGAGTATTATGGTATTTTTTGAAAAAGGCCTATTCCAGTAAATTACCTACCTTAAGCTCTTTCATGGCCACTTTAAAAGCATGCTCTGGTAGATCAGCTGACCTACAAAAATACATCAAAACATTAAAATGCATAGCTGGACACACCACAAAGTGAAGACATTTTAGAAAGATTCATCAGGGAGGAGTGTATTAGAATTCAATCATCCCATTTACATAGAATAAGACTTAGCGATGTCTTTATTGTATGAATGAAAACTCTATTCTGAAATGGGGCTGGAGGACAGAGTGGCACATCTCTTTGTAAGGGTACAGAATGGTACCAAGAAAAACGTGTCCCAGAAATTTTTGGCCCGATCTTGAAATGTCGGAAACATTTTTGATGGGTGTCAAAGTCTTGTTTTCAGGTGATTTGGGGGTTTTGGAGGCTCATTATTTTTTTTTAGTCAATGGTTCTCAGAGTCTCAGATTTGTTGTTTTTTTGTTTCCGTTTGGTCTTTAGGAGTCAAATTTTTCAGTGTTCATAGGTACTTAGCTTATCAAACTAAGCTACTAGATTAACTTAAGACAGTAAAAAACGACAAAGCAGTGCATTGGTGGGTTTCCACTACCTTCCATTTGCACTTTCAGTCATTTTATTTGGCTTTTCGTTGAACCAAATTTATCTCAAAATTTTCAGCAATCACAGTTTTGGGCTTGGAGTTTAAGGCTCAGGTTTGGAGGTTTCACAGTCTTACAAAGTCTAGAATTTACCATTCTATACACCTATTTGTGTAGCCCCCACAAAACATATTATTTTTAAAAAAACTTTATTACTAACAATTAATTACAACCTACATACAAAAATAAATTAAGTAAACAACTGGGATACTGTACTTTATCTTCCTTTCTAGTTCTTCAACATCATCTTCATCATCATTGTCATCATCTTCATCAAAACTTCTTCCCATCCTCTTATGATCTCTTGACACGATCATATTACCACCACGCTGTCATTAAAACAAACAAATATTACAAACAAAACCAGAGATGAAAAAGTGGAAGGTTTATCACCACATATTTCTTCTTCTACTAAAGAGAAGAAGGCTAAACAGAAACAGTTTTAAAACTTTACATGAATATAGCAATTTCGATTTAAAAAAATCTTGATATATGCTTTTAGTTAAAAGAGCTTTGCCATTAATAATGGCTAACACTTAAGAAATTGGTCAAATACCAACCATATTCGCCCCAGTATTTAATGGGGCATGCTGAATGCAACAGTATTTAAATCAAATTATGTAAAACTAATAATCACCTTAGGAGTACCACTTTTTAAAACCCTCCGGTTTATCTCAACTTTCATAGGGCTGGAGCTCTTCAACCCCTAAAAGTTAAATTAGATAAAGGTCTACATAAATACAGTAAAACTTTGTTAATACGGACACTGAAGGGGAGGTAGAAAGTGTCCATATTAACAGGGTGTCCCTATTTAGAGAAATTGTAATTAGGGTTTCTTTCCACAGGGGCAAAGCGAACTGTCTTTAATAATGGGGTGTCTGTATTAAGAGGGTATCTGTTTAGCGGGGTTTGACTTTGTGATACCAATAACAAGTGTGCAAGTATGGTCCCATGGAAATTAACAGACAGAGACAGCCTCTTTTGTCTTTCTCTCCTCCTCCCCCCCCACCCCCCGGGGCTATCACCAAGGGCCAGGGGCATGGGATTTTGAGACCCCTTTTATATAAGCAGGGTGTTCATTAGGCATTGGGGATTGGAGAATTCTCTGTTTACTATGCAGAATTCTCTGGCTAACATGTGATAGCCTATGACTATTTTTCATTCAGACGTGGAGGCCTCTTTCACAATATCCCCCTGTACAGTTACACCTTTCTTCTGCTACTAGCATTCTCAGGGCTTCTGATATTTCGCGCGATCGCGGACCCACGAAATTCAGGTATTTCCGCGAAATCCCGCGAAATACCGCGAAATCCGCCAGAAATATTTCCAAATACTTGACGGCAAAACATATTTAATACTTATCTTGGCCATTAGACCTGTTTTATTCACCCCAAACGTCCAAATTTATCTTGAAACTTAGTCACTGCAACAAGTAAACAACGTCCCAAAACTACCAGGCATTCTTAGATTAACGTTGCGAAAAACTGGGCACTAACCATAATGTTAATAGCTTTAGCATTCGCTCATTTCTTGAGGAAACTGTTGTTGAAAGAGCAAATGATTATCCCTGTTAAAAAAACAACATATAACAACGCTGGTCATATCAACGCAAAATTGATCGATTTTAGCGAAATTTGCCAAAAAAAATCCAGCGAAATCGGCTGTTTTTTACTGATTGTTTCTTGGCGAGGTTTCCCCCCGAAATTTCCCGTGAAATCGGCTGATTTTTCTAAGAATTTGCCCCTGAAAATCCTTCAAACTTTGACTTTTCTCCCGCGAAAATCCCGCGAAATCGGCCGATTTTTCCGCGA